TATTACAATCGTGGGGGAGCGCTAAACCTGTAGGATTATACAGCGCATGTGGGGAGAGGATGGAAGGTATTCAGACTCAATTCAGGGAACTGGAGCACAGATCCAATTCCCTAGATCAAGAGCTCCTCACCAGCATCAAGGAACCTCCCTTGAGGGGTACTAAACTATAGATTTCCGTTCTAAAAATGAAGTAGGGTTAAATTGTTAGTAACTAATATTAGAATTAATAATGTAGCCTTAGACCTTAATATAAGTTAATATTAGTTTATATTAGGTAATGAAACTGGAGGTAATGTTAAATAGCAACCCCATCCTTGAACTGAGGCAGGATGGTATCTAGGAGAGGTAGAGTCCTTCTGGGATGGATGCTGCTGGCGACAACAACACATTAGGAGCTCTTGAGCTCAGTGTTCCATATGTCTTAAAAATATCGCCTGGTGACCAAACACTGGGAGAGGCTTCTCTTCAACTGTGGATATTCATCTCTTCCCAGACCCCCTTAGTAAGATAATACTCAGCTTTTCTGGTAGTATTATGTTGGTCAGTGGTATTTGGGGAAACGTGAGAATTTGAGCTTTGGGTTACGCCGCTCACATGCCCAACCACAAGTTAGTTAGAATGTTGAGTAACTCCCTTTAAACATTAGCCCAGAAGCTAATACCCCACTGTCTACATAAATGTTGATTAGGGAAGACCCATTGAATTCAGGGACCCTCAGGGTGCAGGCTGGGGATGCTAACACCATTCGAATATTTGCAATAGTCAGTCCTGTGCACGTGGCATCTTGAAGTGAGAGAGAGGTCATAAAAATCTAGATTGATTGGGTAGAATCAGTGGATTTCTAGTTAGCAGAATCTCCGCAACTAAGTAAGTCAGTACCAGTTTGTGCATTAGAGGGAGTCTCCAGCATTTTTAATATTCTAAAAGTGTATCTCAAGGGTTACTTGTGAGACTAAGACGTTGTATATGTCAACAGTGATTACCAGTGTGGCCATCTTACAAGTTCCCACAATAATAATAATAATATTAATAATATTAATAATAATAATAATAATAACAATAATAATAATAATAATAATAATAATAATAATCACACGCCAACACTTACCTATGATAGAGACGACGGGGCAGCAGGCAGGGCGGGCATGGGCGTGGGCGTGGGCTGGGGGCGTGCACATATGATCAGATGGGCAGGGGGAATCCCCATCACACTCCGCTACCACCCCGCCCACAGACAGGGGCGTGAGGCCGTTGGGACAGGAAGGTGGGGGCGTGGGTGTGGGCGTGGTGGTGGAGGGGTGCATCAGTTGGTCTGAATCGTTGGAGAGACCTAGTGAGGGAGAGAGACCTAGTGAGGAAGACCTAGTGAGGGAGACCTAGTGAAGGAGACATAGTGAGGTGACTCCTGACGAAGTATCGGAGACAGAACGAAAGGCCTAGAGATATTATGTAAAATGTATTCTTCTGTGTCTTTATTACTGTGACATGCAAAGAGTATGTTACAATTTATTTGGCGTATGTCACACCATATAGGCTGCCTCCCAACCAGCAAACCGGTGCTAAAGGTTTAACGATCGATAGGGTACCCGGCGTTAGTTAAATCAGTATCTTGGTTCATTGACCAATCACAGGCAAGCCTGCCAAAGCTGAAGCAATATGGTTCACTTGCAGTAAGCACTGGCAGACTTGCCTACCTGCTGGTTGAGTACGGTGCACTCTCTCTCTGGCTTCTGCTTTGCCATCTATCACTATCGTGTACACTTATTATTCTATCTGTACATATTGTACATAGTGTACATACCTGTATACAGTGGGTGAAGGCAAAATACATATTATAGTCTACTGCTTAGTTGGTTTGCTCCAGTTCCCACTACGACCAGGTATCACAGGCTGTTCATTACCTGTGTTCGTAATAATTACCCAAGTATCATATGCAAAGGGAAGAAGAGGAAGTCAATAAAGGAAGGAAGAGGAAGTAAGGCAAGAGATGACATGTTGACAGTAATAAAGAGGGAGGAGAGGGCGAGAAGAGAGAGGATTATAGTAAAATGAGAGGGAGAGGGAATGATAGGATAAGAGGGATATACGCTCATACCAAGTGTATATATATCCACAGTAGTACAAGAAGGATATATACTGAACACTGACACACACACAAAGGTACAAGGATATATACTAACACATGGGTGTAGCAGAGCAGGTGTCACCCACACAGCCTGGGTTTCTCCTCATAACACAGGTGGAGGTGTCAGGGCAGGTGAGCTCCTCACAGGGGTCGTCACAGTCACAGGTAGGACACCCATCAGTACCCAGCTTGTAGCCATACTCACAGGTGGACGAGCACAGGGTGTCTCCTGGGCAGGTACCGTCTCGATCCACTGTCGCGGAACATAACATAATTGTTGATAATGATATAAAATACCGACAAGTTGAAGATTAAGATATACTATATGATACAGTGGGTATCTTTATTGATGAAATGTATCGCCTACACAGTAGA